TAGAATTACTTCCCATTACTAGAAAAATATGATTCATAATTCTGTAAACAACCAGGCTAACAAAAACAGGAACTTTGGTACTTGATGAGAAATATATCTCAGGCATGCTCCTTAACACACATATATTATTATTCACCAAGTTACAAGGCAAGCAGATGATTAAAGAGCCATTTGTATACTGTATGTGCCATTTATGATTTATAAAGTTTATTTTTCTTAATAATAACAAAGAGAATGAGTCCTTAGACAGGAATTTACAAGTCTCAAATATGTGAACAGTTCTGACACTAGGTGGAGCAGTTTCCTGGACAAAGCCTTAAGAAGCCCTAGATTCCTTTCAAAAAACCCCACTCTTAGAAAAAGAAGTCTAATGAGAACAAGAACTATCAACAATAATGGTAAAAGGCACCCAAATATTGAGCTATAAATAGAAGGCTGAATATACGTTACAGATAACTTTTCCCTTTGGCATGTACATTTTAACCATTGAATTCCTGGATGGGAGGGATAGTCACGTGTTGAAAGTGTTAGAGTTGCCCTGTCTAGATGCAGTTGGGATATAGAAAAGCTTTGGAACAGTTCAATTACGTTGTAGAATATATTAGGTTTTATTAAAAGCTATAACATCAAGGCATTATCATCTGAATAGTATTAATGAGTCATTTGTTTAATAGGACCATTGTAATAGAAAAAAAAATTTCTCTCTGTTATAAAATAAAGTTAGTTGTGAGATATTTGCCTTTGTGTAAAATTCAGAGGCCTGTTTCTGCTTTAAAGTTTAGGATTATTTCATTACAAAAGTATGTGGTAATGATTGTATATTTAAAAATATGACATCTTGATTGCTGTTGAATGTTTATAGAACCCTTCTGTAACCGCCCCCCCCCCCGCCTTTTCCTTTAATGAACAAGTGCTTTATAGTATGTATATAGTACTTTATAGTATGCTACTAAAAAGCTGTGTTTTCCTTAGGTGTACACATTTCTTATACTTTTTGACTATTGGCTCTTTAATGCCTAAAGTAAATGTTACTTGGAAAACTGCATGGATATGGATTGAAATGAAATAGTGAAGTAGGTTCAGTAAGAGAAATATTGTAGTAATGGCTTAATGCTATGAGGTAGGAGAATTCTTTTAAAAAATTGTTAGCTAACCTCTTTTTTCCCTGCTTGACTCTGATAAATGCCTCATTGCTCACGTGTCTATCCCTGTATAAGGCAAAAATGAGGGAAGGCATTGGCAAAAGTAGGATTCTGGTGTAACCGGATAATGCTCTGTATAGGTATAATGACTCTGGCTATAAGTATGCAGTGATTCAGGACTCTGGCGGGAAGACCAAACAGGCCCTTCTTAGAAAAGGTCTGTTTGCGCTTTTTTTGATGAAGGCTTGACCAGCTCTTCTCCCTGCCTTTCCCCAAAGAGTGACTCATGCATTAACTCTTGTGAATATCACCACATCAAAAGAAGAAACCAAGGTCTCCAGGACATAGGGCCAGGTTTTCACAAAACAAAAGGGGTATGCATAGACTGGATAACTTCCTGCCCTTAAATCACTGTTTATTAATGTGTGCTTTAATGAAAGATAAGGAGATTCAGGTTAGCTGAAATCTGTCCTATTGGGTATATATTTTAAATAATTTATAATAGCCTTTTTTATTTTTTTTTTTTTAATTTTTTTTTTTCAACGTTTATTTATTTTTGGGACAGAGAGAGACAGAGCATGAACAGGGGAGGGGCAGAGAGAGAGGGAGACACAGAATCGGAAACAGTCTCCAGGCTCTGAGCCATCAGCCCAGAGCCCGACGCGGGGCTCGAACTCACAGACCTCGAGATCGTGACCTGGCTGAAGTCGGACGCTTAACCGACTGCGCCACCCAGGCGCCCCTATAATAATAGCCTTTTTTAAAGTTCTCTATAAATATGTGGTTCTCTTCTCCTGAACATTTAAATGAACTTTATGATCACAAGTTGCTTAGGTTTAGAGAAGATAAGTAAAACATGTCTAGGGGCACCTGACTGGCTCAGTCAGTGGAGCATGAGACTGTTGATCTCAGGGTGGTGATTCAGGCCCCAGGTTGGGTATAGAGATTACTTAAAAATAAAATCTTTAGGGGCGCCTGGGTGGCTCAGTCGGTTGAGTGTCCGACTTCGGCTCAGATCATGATCTCGCTGTTCATGGGTTCGAGCCCCGCGCCAGGCTCTGGTGCTGGCAGCTCGGAGCCTGGAGCCTGCTTCAGATTCTGTGTCCCCCCTTTCTCTCCTCCCCACCCCTAGTTGTGCTCTGTCTTTCAAAAATGAATAAACATTAAAAATTTTTTTTAAATAAAAATAAAATAAATAAAATCTTTAAAAAAGGAAACATGGATTAATTCAATATAATAAAAATGACTTCAATAGCATGTCCTTATAACTTGGGAGCATGCACTATAGAATTTATTATACATTTTTTGTTTTGGTTAGCAGTTTTATACTTACCATAACACTTTTACTATAGAATCTCATAAAGGGATGCCTGGGTGGCTCAGTAGGTTAAGTGTCTTGCTCTTGATTTCAGCTCAAGCCATGATCTTACAGTTCATGAGATTGAGCTCCATGTCCAGCTTTGCGCTGTGCAGAGCCTGCTTGGGATTCTCTCTTTCACTGTCTCTCTGCCCCTCCCCTGCTCATTCTCTCTTCTCTCTCAAAATAAATAAACATGAAAAAAATAAAAAATAAAAGAATCTCTTACATTCTTGCCCTGTTACTTAGGTCATGCAGGCATTGTTACAATTATTATTATTAGGATTTTCAGATGGAAGTCCGATTATATCTAATAAGTTACTAACAGATTCAGAAAACAAATGCACATTAATGCTCAAATTACTGCTTTTTGACATTATATATACTGCATTTTATGTAGTGTGACCAGAGGCTTATTTTGTAAGCTTGGGACCTTTCTCACAACAATAATATGAACACTAGTTAAACTTCTCAGTGCCTATTTGCAATCAATAGTTTTATGCTTTAGCCTTCTAGAATGATTTGCTGTAAACCATAACCTTAGGTAAATTGTTTTCTGACTATGATGAGAAAAGCAATGATTAATAGAATTTGAGAAGTAGAATTCCTGTTTGCAAAAGCATTTTAAAGTCCCTTAAAAGTCAGACTTAAAGAAAACAAAGGTTTTGCAAGTTGTACAGACAACCATTTGTCATCTCCTTTCATTTATTTATCACCCAGATATTCCTAATGAATCACATTCCAACCTAACCACTGACTCCTTTTGTTCCTTAGTGAAGGAGTGTGGCAAACAAATGCTTTCCCAGTGAATCAGCACAGGATTCTTGATTTTATTACCTTTGCCCTAAACTTTCCAGACAAAACTAATTGGAAATTTTGCCTTTGGGATCTCACTTGACTTCTGTGTACGGATGATGGATTAGGCTATGAATTGACATTACAGATGTTGTGCAAACAATTCTATTCATTAGGAATGTTTTATCAGTTCTAAGGGAGCTGCCTAAGGTGGATGAATGTCTGTCTGTCTGTCTGTCTGTCTGCTTATCTTCCTTGTAAAAACTCATATATACACATACTTATATGCTATCAATTAATGGGATATCATATTCTTCATCTGGGTTGATAAAGAGGTTTGGCTAAATAGACTTACCATTTATGACCATTTTAGGTTTTTGTTTTTAAGAAAATGTATTTGCAAAAACGGGCCCCTAAATAAATCCAACAGTAAAGTTCCAAAGCAGAAAACTTTAAACAGAGTTTTGTGGGTTTTTTTTAATGTGTATTTTTGAGAGAGAGAGACAGAGCATGAGTCAGGGAGGGGCAGAGGAAGAGGGGAGACACAGAATCCGAAGCAGGCTCCAGGCTCTGAGCTGTCAGCACAGAGCCCGATGCGAGGCTCAACTCTCAAACCTTGAGATCATGACCTGAGCTGAAGTCAGATGCTCAACCGACTGAACCACCCCACCCAGGTGCCCCAAAACTTTTTTTTTTTGTAATGAAGCAGCAACGCATATATAAGTCTGTCATTTTACTAATATAATTTTTTTCAGAGATTAATGTACGAATATCCCACTCCTTCCTTACAAAGATCCTACTTTGTGTTTGTGGTACCAAGTCGTCTTTCTCAGAGCTTATATAGGTACATTATTATCTTCACTACCATTTTATGGGTTTTTTTCTGTTGTATAATTTCAGGTATGATAATTTTATCTGTTTAGGACAATTTTTTTAAATTCTAAATTTGTCTTAGAACTTTTGGTATATTAATTCCTGAAGTTAGAGTACAAATTGATCTCATAGAATTGTCTCTGTTAAATTTTTTCAACCAATCACTAAAACTTCCCCTTTTATACTGCTCATGAAAGAATTTAAATTGTAGAAATGTAACTTCTAAAATTTATCTTAAAAAATATTTTAAAAGTTAAAACACTTCTTCCACAAATACGCATATCTCCTCTCATAAGAAATTTTACCCCCAAATTAACTATAATTTTGCTCTCACTCAGACATACTAGTCCTTGGCTAAACACTACATCGTTCATCCTGGGCAAGACAAAATTATTCCATGATCAAAACTTTGGAAAATATAATGTAATACATCTCATGAGACCAGATATATGAGGCTTTGAACTGAAGTAAAACCAGATGTCTGATATGTTACAAATAGCTGAACTATCTTATTGCCACAGCTTCACCTAGAATAACTATACTAGATTATCCAAAAGAAAGAAAGAAAAGAAAAAGACCTAAAACCTGCCACTTTAATGAGAGTATAACTTTTCATCACAGTCATAAAATTTAACTTCTTTATCATTAACGGGAACTTCCATTGACAGTAATTAGGAACTCTCAGGGGTTATGAGTACAGTTAGTGAATGTTACTTGTGACTTGATCTCTAGGGAATTTATAGAACTTCCTGTGCTGGGGAATAACAGTCTGGGCTAGATATAACTGTTTGGCCTTCCTTTGATTATGACCACATAGGTTAAAAGATACTGACCTTAACTGGAGAAATTAACCTTCAGGACCTTCATTTGCCACTTTTCCTTGAGTAGTGCTCCTTGTGTTGATCTTTTACATTGCTGCATGGCACGTGCTTTTAAATACACTGAGACTTGTCTTATACCAGATTATATGGTCTATATTGATGAATGTTCCATGTGTTCTTGAAAAGAATATGGATTTGGCTGTTGTTGGGTGGAGTGTTCCATATTGTTCAGGTCTTCTGTATCCATACTGGTTGTCAATTTAATTGTTCTGTCAACTCATAAGAGAAGGGTATTGAAATTTTCAGCTGTAATTGTGGATATTTATTTGTCCTTTCAGTTCTGTCAGTTTTTGCTTTATGTATTTTAACACTGTAGTTAAGTGCCTACATATTTAGCATTGATGTGTCTTTTCTAGAATTAGTGCTTTTATCATTTTGAAATGTCCTTATTCATCTCTAGTAATACTCCCTATAGTCAATCCTACTTTATCTGATATTAATATAGCCACTCCATATTTTTTATGATTATTTCAAAATGGGTTATATGTTTTTATCCCTTTATTTTTACTTTTGGGTCTTGATATTTAAAATGGACTTCCTAGGGGGTACCTGGGTGGCTCAGTTGGTTAAGTGTCTGACTTCGGCTGAGGTCATGATCTCACAGTTCATGGGTTTGAGCCCCGCGTCGGGCTCTGTTGACAGCTCAGAGCCTGGAGCCTGCTTCAGATTCTGTGTCTCCCTCTCTCTCTGTCCCTCCCCTGCTCGCACGATCTCTTTCTTTCAAAAATAAATGAATGTTAAAAAAAAAAAATTTTTTTTAACATTTATTTATTTTTGAGACAGAGAGAGACAGAGTATGAACGGAGGAGGGTCAGAGAGAGGGAGACACAGAATCTGAAACAGGCTCCAGGCTCTGAGCTGTCAGCACAGAGCCCGACATGGGGCTCGAACTCATGGATCGCGAGATCATGACCTGAGCTGAAGTTGGCCGCTTAACCGACTGAGCCACCCAGGCGCCCCCCCAAAAAAATTTTTTTTAATTTTTGTAAAAAAATAAAATAAAATGGGCTTCTTGGAGCACCTGGGTGGCTCAGTTGGGTAAGTGTCTAACTCTTGATTTTGGCTCAGGTCATGATCTCACGGTTTATGGGATCGAGCCCTGCATCAGGCTCTGCACTGACAGCACAGTACCTGCCTGGGAGTCTCTCTCTCCCTCTCTCTCTGCTCTTCTCCTGCTCACGCATGCTGTCTCAAAAATAAATAAAAATAAACTTCAAAGAAAAATAAAATGGGATTCTTATAGATGGCATGTCTTTAATCCAGTCTGACACTCTGTCTTTTCATTTGTATGTTTGGTCAATTTATAATTAATGTAGTTATCAGTGTGGTTGGATTTAAGTGTACCCTCAAGCTGTTTGTCCCACCTATTTTTTATTTTGTCCCACCTATTTTGTATTCTTTTCCTATCTTTTTTTGGATGGAGCATTTTAAAAATATATATATAATTTAACTGCTCTGCAAGAGTATATTCCATTTTTCTCCCTCCCATAATGTATGCTGTTGTTGTCATATATTTTACTTCTACATGTGCTATAGTTTTTACTTCAGACAACTAGTTATTTTTGAAAAGATTTTTAATGAGGAGGAAAGATCTTTTATATTTGTAGTACTCTTTATTACTTTGTATACATTAAGATTTCATCTGGTATCACTTTTCTTCTATCTAAGAACTTCCTTTAACATTTGTTATAGTCCAGATCTGGTGCAACAGATTTTTTTGGCTTTTGTTTATCTGAAAATATTTTTATGTTATTTTTATTTTGGAAATATATTTTCCCTGGATTCTAGATTTTTTTTTTCTTTCAGCTCTTCAGAGAAGTAATTCCATTGTCTTTGGATTGCATTATTCTGATAAGAAGTATTATCTATATTTCCCCATAGGTAATTTATCTTCACCCCTCCAGTTGCTTTTGAGATTTTTCTCATCATTATTGAGTTAATAGCAATTTGATTAGATTGTGATTGTGCTGATTTTCAGTGATTTAAGTGTTTTCTTTGTATTTGTCCTGAGGTTTGTTGAATTTCTTAGATCTGTGAGTTGATGGATTGATATTTTTCATCAAACCTTAAATACTTGGCTACTATTTCTTCAAGTATTTTTCTGCACACACTCCTTCCCACCAACACACACCTTCTCTCTTTCTGGGATTCCAATTACATGTATACTAGACTAGTTGGTATTATTCCACAGGTCACTGTGGTTTATTTCTTTCATAGTCTTTACCCTCTGTATCCTTTTGTTTGGATACTTTCCATTGCCCTGACTTCAAGTTCTCTAATATTTTCTTCTGTGGTGTCTGTCTAATCTGTTGATAATCTAGCCAATGAATTTTTCCATTCAGATATTATCTTCAGCTCTAGAAGTTCCATTTTTTATACTTTCCATTTCTTTCCTCATGTTTGTGTTTTCCTTTTTTTTTTTTAAAGTTTATTATTTTGAGGGAGACAGAGACAGTGTATGTGGGGGAGGGGCAGAGGGAGAGAGAGAATCTCAAGCAGGCTTTGTGCTGTCAGTGCAGAGCCCTACATGGGGCTCCAACCCACAAAACTGTGGGATTATGACCTGAGCCAAAACCAGCCTTAACTAGCTGAGCCACCCCTAGGTTTTCCAGGTATCAGCAAACTTTTTTTGCAAAGGACCACATAATAAATATTTTAGATTTTGTGGAACTGTAGAGTCTTTCAGCGCTCTTCAGTTTTGCTCTTATAGCACAGAATTAGCCAGAGACGATATGTAAGTGAATGGACATGGCTATATTCTTTGAAACTTTCTTTATAAAACTAGCATGGGCCAAATTTGGTCTGTAATTTGAAGTTTGCCAACTGCTGCTTAAATCCTTGAACTTACTTATATTCACTGTTTTTAGGTTCTTGTCTCATATTTCCATTATCTCTGACATTTCTGTTTCTGTTGACTAATGTTTCTTCTGGGTCATATTTTCGTTCTTCACAGATCTAGTTGTTTCTTATTAGATGCTGGACATGTAGTATTAAAATTGTTGATTGTATAGATTTGTTGTCTTTCTTTGCAGAGCATCAGTTTTCTGTTTTGGTGGGCAGTCAAGTTACCTGTCATCAACTTGATCTGCTTAAGGCTTTTTTAAAAGAAAACATGTTATGGCCTATCTGGAGTAACTGTTACTCTAAGCTCCTTTTAGGGTCTTCCCTGAATGCCGAGTCTCTGCACTCTAGCTGGTTGAACTGCAGGTGTTTCCTAGTCCTTGTGAACTCTAGGAATTGTTTATCTTACAACTGTTGTAGGTTGTTTTCCCACCACTTGTTCTTTGCCTAGCCTAATGGAATCTCACCCTAGCCTGCAATGCAGCTTTGTATATCAAAGTCTCAAGAGGACCCTGTGCATGTTTCTAGAGTTCTTTCTCTTTATTATCATTCTGTTCCACAGATTTCAACTACTCAGGCTCCCTGAACTCAGATTTACTTCTCAACTCAGCAAGACCACCATGCTGTTTTTTAAAAAATTTATTATTTTTAGTAATTTCTACACCCAACGTGGGGCTCAAATTCACAACCCTGAGTTACACGCTCTTCAGACTGAGCCAGCCAGGCACCCCAAGACCACCATGCTTTGCTTGGGCTCTTTCTCTTTGGATTTTGCTATAGACATGGGATGTGTCTACAAATGAAGAGCCAGAGCCATCATAGGGTTTCCTCATTTGTATTCCTTCTATCAGCAGTCAGAAATCATAGACTGCCTATGGTACAATGCCTGAAAAGAATTGTTCCATGTGTTTTGTCCGGTCTTTTAGTTTACTGTAGATGTAAAAGTCCGTACCACTTCATGATCTGAGACAGAAAACCCCCAACCAAAGGCCAGGATCTCTAATCCATACATATCAATATCTAAATGCTCTCAGGACAGCTGTAACCTCCTGCTCAATACATTGTTGGGTTTTATATGTTTCATGGTGGTTCTGTCCAGATAGTGTTTTCTGCTTACACTGTAGCTGTTTGTCTTTATCCCTTGGTTTTTGATTTAGCATAGTTAAGACATTTAATATATGATGCAGTGCAGTAGGACTTGTAGGTTGTAGAAAATAAAAGTTAATTTGAGTACGTGTAACCTTTAAAAATATTTTAATCAAAACAATTTTTTAGTCTTGGTGTTTGGATTTTTCATGTAAACTAAATTTATTTCATTCAACTCAATTATATATAGGAACCATCAGCCTATAATGTTGAAAAGAATTTGTGAAGTTTCCTATAATTAACGTAGTTTAAACTAAAATGTCAAGGTACGGACTAAACGGGCTCTTGAGAATGAACAAAGGACAAGAAGCTGAGTTATTTGTGTCCGTTTTGCTGGGAACCACATCTGCCTCAAAGGCTGAGTAATCATGACTTATTAGTGTGGTTATGGAAAGTATATATCCGTTTAGTTGTGTGAATGAACCGTCCTTTCTTTAGGGAAAAAATTCTCATCAGATTGCTGAAATTTTCCCTTTTTAGAATTACTTAAAATTGAAACTATGAATAAGTCTTTTATCTTGTTGGATAATGTGTTTGATCTGTTGAGGTACATATTTTATATTTCTAGAATAGAAATGTAGGTTTTTCTTTCCTGTACATCCCAGAAATATTATTATTTAGTATCCAGGGCAGTTTAATTTTGTTCACTTAGAGTTTGTTTCTAGGGTTGAGAAGTAGACTGTACTGTATATTATAGGGACAGTTTGTGGGGTATCATGGGCAAACTCTTGAATTTCTTCTATTTTACTTACTGGTATCACATTTTTCTTTTGCGTTTCATACATTATAGGTTGAAGTTACGTTTTTTGTTTGTTTTTTTAATTACATCTGATACTTAGCTGTATGTGTAGAGTAAGAAATTTTTCACTAATTATTCAATTATTCTGAATTCCACAAACTTTAAACTTTTTTTTTTTTAAGAATCACAAAATAATTCTTTTTCCTCTCAACCGTGAAATCTTTTATGCATATAGTATTCAAAGAAGCAATTGTGGATTTCATGGTTAATAACTTTGAAGGAAAATGTGACTACTCAAAAGCATTTACGTAATTATTCTTTTAATGTAAATATTACTCTTTATTACTTTCTGTGAATTAAAACTCAAGAGAAAGATGAAGAGGCTAAAAATTCACATAGATTTTTTTGGTCCAGAAAAAAACTAATAATTGATTCAGTGCTACATGCAGAACTACATTTTTTAGATTTTCTTTGAACACATAATGCCAGTTGCATGTAGGGAGAAATGTAGCTTAGATTTATGAATATATTTTTTGTATTAACTTACAACAAAAAGTTTTGTTTTAAATCACCTTTTATCTTTTTTTTTTTTTCAACGTTTATTTATTTTTGGGACAGAGAGAGACAGAGCATGAACGGGGGAGGGGCAGAGAGAGAGGGAGACACAGAATCGGAAACAGGCTCCAGGCTCTGAGCCATCAGCCCAGAGCCTGACGCGGGGCTCGAACTCCCGGACCGTGAGATCGTGACCTGGCTGAAGTCGGACGCCTAACCGACTGCGCCACCCAGGCGCCCCATAAATCACCTTTTATCTTAATAGCAATAGTTCCTTAATGTTTTATTTTCATTGTTGCATCTTGTGCACTTTTGTCTTTGAACCACTAATTCTTTTACCTTATGATTTAAAAAGGCTCTCAGGGCCTCTGGGTGGCTCAATCGGTTAAGCGTCGGACTTTTGATATAGGCTCAGGTCGTGATCTCGTGGTGGTAAGGTCAAGCCCCACATTGGGCCCTGCACTGAACATGGAGCCTGCTTAGGAGTCTCTTTCTCCTTCTCCCTCTGCTCCTCCCCCCCCCCACCTGACTCTCTCTCTCTCTCTCTTTCTCACTCTCAAAACAAGTAAACTTTAAGAAAAGAAATTAAAAAAAAAAAAAAAAGAAAAACCTCTTGTATACCGAGACCACTTACTGTATGTGTGTATGTGTATAGAGCTAGAGAGGATAAAATTATATATATATTTTAATATATTAATGCATACAATTTAATATTATATTATCTAAAACATAATATTGTATAACAAAAATTTTTACTATATTTTTATTTGATATTCTACAAAATTTTATTCTACAAATACAGTCTTTTCTTTGTAATAACTAATGGCTAGTACATTTTGAGGGTTTATTCTAAGCTGGGTACTTTATATAAGTTGACTGATTTAAATTTTATGGTATCCCCAGAATGTAGGTTCTGAAGGTGTTTGATTATTTCCATTTTATAGATTAGGAGAGCAAGACTCAGAAGGTAAGTTACAGAGTCCAGAACCTGAACCAGAACATGTGGCTCTAGAAGTTATGCTTATAGCCACTAGGTCTACAGCATGCTTTAAAGTAAATATTTACAGCTTGTGTGTTAAAGAAACGTGTTAAGGATGTCCAGTGTTTAGCTCTGATACCTCATGAGAACTTTGGAAATTATTGTTAGATTTTAATTCACATAATTAATTATATTTGAAGTTTTTTATTTTGGAGCTGAATAAAACTATGAGTCTTAATTTTTTTGCTTTGCAGAAGAGTAAACTGAGGCCCAGAAAAAAGTTAAGTGACTTTGTCTAAGGTTGTTTAATTCCTGGGGCGCCTGAGTGGCTCACTCGGTTAAGCATCTGGCTCTTGGTTTTGGCTCAGGTCATGATCTCATGGTTTGTGGGTTCGAGCCCCGCTCTGCTAACACAGAGCCTGCTTGGGATTCTCTGTCTCTCTGTCTCTGTCTCTCTCAAAATAAAATAAACGTTTAAAAAAAAAAAAGTTTCATTCCTGACCCTTAATTTACTGTTATCCCAATGGTTCCTAAACCTAGCCTATTAGAGAACCTAACTTATTTGAAATTCTAAAGAAACTCATTTAAAACATACAGGTTCCCATCCCCACCTATTGAAGAAATCTATGTTAGGAAACCCAGGAATTTGTATATTTAACAAACTCCTTAGTTGGTTCTTATACAGACCCCTCACCTTGGCATGCATGTGCACTTGGGAACCATTGTGTTTATTAAGCCTTTATCACACATCTAATATTAATCCATTTTAACCTATGTGATTATTATTTGTAATATTTTAGTTTATTGTTTTTTATATTTATTTTTTGGGAGAGCACACGCAGTGGAGGGGCAGAGAAAGGGGGACAGAGGATCTGAAGCAGGCTCTGCACTGACAGGTGGACAGCAGTGAGCCCAATGTGGGGCTCAGACTTACAAACTGCAAGATCATGACCTTAGCCAAAGTTGGATGCTCAACCGACTGAGCCACCCAGGTGCCCCTAATTTTTAATATTTTAAAATAAAGGTACAAAGCAGCACAAAATCTTCCATAGAAAATACTGCTTTAAAAGAAAAACTTACTGATATTTGTTCCACAGTTTTATTTTGTTTTAGGACCTCTTATCTTTGGGAAAGATAAGTGAGGCAGTTACTTCACCAACTGTTTTTAAGTAAGGACAGAAAAGTGGTATTCTCGAATCATGCCTAAAGGAATAGGGCACAGGAATTTTTTATCAAAGGGTATAACATTCTTACAAATGAGAATATGGATGAATAAAATCAAATAAAGCCAGAAATCATATGGTGTTGGAGAAGGAGATTGACTATAAAAAGACACCAGGGAACTTTTTGTAGTGATGGAAGTGTTCTATATCTTGATTGGTTGTGCTTATACAGTTCAATATATTTGTCAAAACTCAATGAACTATATACCTATATACTATTATATGTAAATTATACTTCAATAAATCTGAATTAAAAAAACAAGCTAGGAAGAGATTAAGGATTAGTTTTTCAAATTACCAACTGCAACTTGAAATATGTAGTTAGATTCTTATTCCCTAGAAGCTAAGATTTTTCTATTTGTGTATAGTAATTAAGGTACTGTTAAAATGACATGTATATTGATTGGTAATTCCTTTTTCATTAATATTTCTCATCAGAGGTTTCTCATATTTGTTTCATAGGGTCCACATATAGCTTCAGTTACATTAGCTGCTTATGAATGCAATTCAGTTAATTTCCCTGAACCACCTTATCCTGATCAAATTATTTGTCCAGATGAAGAGAGCATTGAAGGAACCATTTCTTTGTGGAGCATCATCTCAAAAGTTAGGATTGAGGCCTGCATGTGGGTAAGATGTCCATTTTCATATTTGTCTAAAATTAACCTCACTATTTTGATACTTTGTTGTACCTCATTGAAAATTTAATCCAAATATATATCCACATAGCAAGTCAATAAACAATTAATTCATGAAGTCACCAGTTATCTGCTTCCAAGTAAGAGAAACCCTTTAGAGCTTCCCCATTCATGAATGACATTCAGAGTAAGGCATGAAGCCATAGGTACAACAAAGCAGTGGATGCCATGTAGACAACAAGAGGGAAATGGAGGATAGATGATACAACTATACTACTTTGCAAAATTTTACCAATGTGAAATATTTGATAAACACATAGCAAGTGGTTATATTTTCAGTCCCAGATTGGTAAATGTTGTATGTCTCTCTCCTAGATTCAGATACTCTGTGTTTATTCTTAGAGGGCTTATTTCATTTTCTGAGTTGTTAGTAATACTGAAGTAAGGTCAGATATTTTTTTAATAGACCAAGCTTTACTGTAGTGAGGGTATCAGACTGTATGGTTGTATATGGTGATCTTGCTTTCATTTGTACCAATTATTCTTTTTATGGTTTGCTTAAGTGTATTTTGGGAAGCCTTTGTACTATATATCCAGTGACAGATTATTTTAATCCATACAAAGTATTCTTTTTTTTTTTCTATATGCCTATATTCATTCAAATGTGTATCATTGAGGAATAGTTCATTTGCTAAAGACTTTCTGTTACTCTTTGAACATTTTTTGTCATTTGGATTCATTAAGTTATATGTTCTCTGTAACTTTTTCCCCCTAACAGTGTCTTATAAAATAAAACATATGGAACAGATCAGTTAAAAATCTTGACTAAAATGAACATGAATGCCATACCCATGGAAGAGGGACAGTTTTCAAATACACTTATTTAAAGGTTAACAACTATATTGTCTGTGTGTGTGTGTTTCATACGATCGTCTTTGTTTTTAGTATAACTTATTTGTCAGTTATATATACTATAGCCTAGTATGTTGTGTTTTAAAAGAATTGTAAGGGAAATGCCATATTTTGAATTTGTTGAATATGAAAGGCAGGAAAAATTGTCGTATTTCCTGTTACTCTTTTATAAGCACTGGAAACAAAATTCATTGTACTAGTTGCATATGTTTTATAAATTTGACCACATTAGTCTTTTGATGAAAAATTATTATTAAAATAACAGAAGATACTTGGAACGTGCTAGAAAGAGACCATGTATATGGATTCGGTTTTCTGTTTTGCTTTAGTTCCTTCACAAATGATTTACATGGCTGGATTAACACTAATGCCAACAAAGAAAAACTTCCATCGCAGCTGGCAGTGATAACTGCCTCCTCCAACTCCCATAGTTCATATTGTTTGAAGTGTTCATTTGGCCTAGCTCCATGCATGCCTTAAATTAGTTAACTAGACTAGTGTAGTGGCTTACTTTCCCAAATAAATTTTAAGCTCCTAAAAAATATAAACTGTACCTTAAATTTATTACCCTCACAGCAGTCAGTATAACGTTTTGCACATAGTACAAGAATGTTGATTAATCCTAGTTAATTGGCTGAGTGCTCTTCATATTTCCTTTTTTGAAATTGTCTTTTGTCACATATAAAGTGGAGCGCATATCAAGTTACATTTAAATTGGTTCCTATTGTTCTCAATATTATATGGATAGTCCTTTCAACAAAAGGTGCTGGGAAAACCATATACACATTCAGAATAATGGATTTGGACCCTTACCTTCTGTAAAAATTAACTCAAAATGCATCAGGGACTTAAGCTTACGAACTAAAACTGTACAGCTCTTAGAGGAAGATGTAGAGACAATCTGCATGGTGTTGGATTTGGCAATGGTTTCTTAAATATGACACTCCAAAAACATAGACAACAAGAAAAAGTAATAGGTAAGTTGAACTTCACTAAAATAAAAACCTCTTTTATGTTAAAAAGAAAAAACATTATCAAGAGAGTGAAAAGATAACCCACAGAATGCAAGGGGATGTTCACAAATCATATATCTGATAAAGGTTTAATATCCAGAATATTTGAAGAACTTCTACAACTTAACAACCCAATTTTAAAAATGGGCAAAGGACTTGAATAGACTTTTCTCCAAAGAAGATACACTAATGGCCAATAAGTGCACAGATTCTCAGCATCATTTAGTCATTGGGGAAGTGCAAATTCAAACCACAAGGAAATACCCCTTTGCTATTATTTTTTTAAAAAGAAAACAAGTATCAGGATGTGGAGAAATTGGAACTCTTGTAGACTGTTGGGAATGTAAAGTAATTTAGCTGCTAGGGAAAAGAGTTTGGTGGATTCTCAAAAACCTAAATGTAGAATTACCATATGACCCTCCTCTAATTCCACTCCTACATTAATACCCACAAGAACTGAAAACTGGGACTCAGGTATAAGTACAGGTACTTGTACTTCATTCCTCAGTAGTATTATCCACATTTTCTTTTTTCTTTTTTTTTTTTTTTTTAATTTTTTAAATGTTTATTTATTTTGAGAGAGAGAGAGCACAGGAGGGGCAGGGCAGGGGGGGAATCCCAAGCAGGCTCCACACTGTCCATGCAGAGCCCAACACTGGCTTACTCTCACCATGAGATTATGAGCTGAGCTGAAATCAAGTACTGGGCGGTTAACTAACTGGGCCACCCAGGCACCCCTCCACGTTTTCAGAAAGGTGGAAACAACCCAGTGTCCCGCAACAGATAAATGGATAAAATGTAGTATATACGTGTAATGGAATATTATTCATCCATAAAAAGGAATGAGGTTCTGAATTGTACTATAGTATGAACCTCAAAAACATTATGTTAAATGAAATAAGCCAGTACATAGAAAGACAGATACTATATGATTGCACTTATGTGAATTGTCCAGAAGAGTCAAATTGGGGGCACCTGAGCGGCTCAGTCAGTTAAGTGTTCAACTCTGATTTTGTCTCAGGTCATGATCTCACAGTTGGTGGGATTGAGTCCCATGTTGGGCTCCACTGTGACAATCTAGGCTGGCTTAGGATTCTCTCTTTCCCTCTCAGCCCTCCCCCCCCCACCCCCTGCACTCACACACACACTCTTTCTCTCTCTCTCAAAATAAATGAACTTTAAAAAAAGTATAAATAAAAATAAAATAGAAGAGTCAAATTCATAGAGATAAGAAGTACATTTGAAGTTACCAGCGTTGTGTGGGGTGAGAAAGTTAATGCTTAATGGGTTCAGTGTTTCCATTTGGGTGATGAAAAATACTGGAAATAGATAGTGATGGTGGTTGCACAACATTGTGAATGCAGTTAATCCCACTTAGTTTTATATTTTAAAATGGTTAAATGGGATACAGTCATAAAATGTCCATACTGCGGAGGTTGAGAAACCTTGATATAGAGTGTGTCAGCCTTGATTTGTAGTTTACCCTTTCATAGATGAGTTTACCCTTTCATTTGTGTTCACACCCATATGTTTTGTTCTGTTCAAAAGAATGTCTTGCTTGATTAAAAACTCACATCTTATTTGATGCTTTGGATTCTGTCTCCCTCTCTTTCTACCCCTCTCCCTCTCATTCTCTGTCTCTCTGTTTCTGTCTCTCTCAAAAATAATAAACATTAAAGAAAACTGAAAAACAAACTCATATCTTATTTGACATTTTTTTTTAATTTTTTTTTTTCAACGTTTATTTATTTTTGGGACAGAGAGAGACAGAGCATGAACGGGGGAGGGGCAGAGAGAGAGGGAGACACAGAATCGGAAACAGGCTCCAGGCTCCGAGCCATCAGCCCAGAGCCTGACGCGGGGCTCGAACTCACGGACCGCGAGATCGTGACCTGAGCTGAAGTCGGACGCTTAACCGACTGCGCCACCCAGGCGCCCCTCTTATTTGACATTTTTATCCAGTTTGTACTTTGAAAGTAGTATGTCTTTACAGACGTCGCTATCATTACAAATGTAGTGAATCAGTAAAATAATTAAAATGTAAAATAAATCAGTAAAATCAGTAAAATAATATCCAATTATAGGATAAAGACCAGGGTTGGGGGCGCCTGGGTGGCTCAGTCAGTTGAGCGTCCGACTTCAGTTCAGGTCATGATCTCACATTCATGAGTTCGAGCCCCGTGTCGGGCTCTGTGCTGACAGCTCAGAGCCTGGAGCCTGCTTTGGATTCTGGATTCTGTGTCTCTTCCTCTCTCTGCCCCTCCCACGCTCATACTCTGTCTCTCTCTCTGTCTCTCTATAATAAATAAACGTTAAAAAAAAAAAAAAAAAAAGACCAGGGTTGCTCTTAATTTCAGCTTGTTTATATAGGTCTTTGGAGCACGCTAAAGTGAATTGGGTTTTTTTGTGTGTTTTTTTTTAATTTTTTTCTTAATGTTTATTTATTTTTGAGACAGAGACAGAGCATGAAGGGGGGAGGGGCAGAGAGAGAGAGAGAGGGAGACACAGAATCTGAAGCAGGCTCCAGGCTCTGAGCTGTTAGCACAGAGCCTGACACGGGGCTCGAACTCATGGACCGTGAGATCATGACCTGAGCAGAAGTAGGACACTTAACCGACTGAGCCACCCAGGTGCCCCATGAATTGTTTGATATTGTTGATCATTAGTTACTTTTTTTCAGTTTGAATCTTTTGATCTTCCATAATTTGTGTCACCAGTGCAAAGCTTCACAAATTTTCATTTCACTCATGAATTCCAATAATAGTTATTATGCATCCAAGCACCAGAGATTCAGAGGGAGCAAAACTGAACAGTCTCATTGGAACTTACGTTCCAGTGAGGGAAATAATTATCATGGAAAAAATGCATAAATAAATATCATGGAAAAACCGTATAAATATGAAGGAGAAATCTGTATAACACAGACATTTTCCCTAGTTTATGATTCAAGGAAGATTTCCATGAAGAAGCAGTGTTTTGGTTGAGATCTAAGAATAATAAAGATTTGTAAAGTGGGACAGCAGGGCAGGGGCGAGAGCATGTGTGTTGACTTTTAGATAGAGAGCATCACCTTTTAAGGTCATGTATTTGTTAAGTTCATGGTTAGGGGGTGATTATTGTGGTAAAATATATATAAGGAAAGTTTTACCATTTTAACCGTTTTTAAGTACACAATTTATTGGCCTTAAGTATATTTACAATGTTGTGTCATCATTGCCAGAACTTTTTGTCATCCCAGGCAGAAATATGTACCCATTAAAACAATAACTCAAGAGTCTTTTCTATTTTCTTCTTCTTTGATTGTGTCAATTCTAGATACCCCATCTAAATGGAATCATATAATGTTTTTCTATGTCTGGCTTATTTTGCTTGGCATAATGTTTTCAAGTTTCATCCATGTTGTAGCATGTGTCAGAACTTCATTCCTTCTTACAGCCATTTGAAAACTGACCTCAAGGGAAACTGGAAGCAAATTTTCTCTATGTGCAAAACAGTCTTGAAAATTTTACTAGAATTGGTATAATTGTTTTCTGTAAGAACCCTGCATTTCTCAGTGGTTTCAAGCTTACCCTCCTAACTTCTGCTTTTAACCTCTGATTTATGTTTGTAATTGGAATATGTAATAGAAAAATCATTTTGTTAAAAAAAATTATTAACACATAGATAATACAAAACTACCATAATATCTGAGAATCAGCATATGTAAAATTTTCTGCTCTCCATATTTTTACTATCAAACTTATTATTCCCATCATTGAAAAGCAAAATGCTGATTTGCTTGTGAATCCACTTGACAAAACTTTTTAAAAGCATGAACATTCAGGATTTTCCTCCTCCCCTAAATCTTTGAATATAATTGATACTCCAGGAAGATATTTCCCTCTTGGTTTTGCATATTTTGTGCATGTTAAAATCTTCTCCAATTCAAGAAGCAGGGACTTCAAGGTAATCAATTGATATGGAGCAGATGGTTTTTAGAAGAGCTTTCTGAATTATTGCTTGACTAAAAACTACTTGTCTCTTTCTTTTGCAATAAGGAAACCAGTTATTTCTTCCCCTTAATTAAGCCTAGGCTGACAGTTTTTAGTGTTCCACACTTCTGTTTTGGTTTTTTGTTTTGATTTTGCAAGAATTATAAAATTGTTTTGTAAGAATCATGAAATTATGGGACTGCAGTACCTAATTTGAGATAACTAAATAAACTTTTGTGTCTAGAATATAATGTGTTTTGGGGGACCTGTCTGGATGACTGTATTTCTTTTTATCTATTTGTGTAAAAAACAGAATACTGACTCATGATCACCATTCTTGTTTCTTGCTAATGTGGGAAAACATGAGCAGAATTCAACTATAACAATAAATATAGTCAACCAAGTATAATATAGTATGTAGCTCTTGATTTCATTTCAGTCCATTATTACTTCCTTTTTAACTTTAAGGAAACTTGTCATGAGTTTGAATCATATGATTGCTTTCAGAACTATTAAACATTTGAGTTAACAGGTTTTAAGAGAAGTTCATGTTTTGAATAGCATGTTGCAATTAACTTCCTACTTTTTGTAATGGGAAAAAAAATTTTTTTAAGTACAGAGATTTATATAATTAATTTAATATATTATCACCCAAACTCAGTTAATATTAATCCCTGGCTAATATTGTTTTATCTGATCCCTCCTCTGTAGGCTTCACTATCTTGAAGCATATCCTAGATAACATATCACATTTCATCTGTAAATATATCAGTCTTAGGACTTAAAAAAACATTATCACACCTAAGAGAAATTAGGAATAGTCTCTTCAGATCAGCTACCTAGTTAATGTTCAGATTTTTCTGATGGTGTTTCTTTGTTTTTCTTTTCATATTTATATGTTGTTGAAACTGGGTTGTTTGTCAAATATAATTTCTCACAGTCTCGATTTTACTAATTATATCCCAGTTGGTATAGTTTAAATATGTTTATCTGTTCCCTATGTTTCCTGTGAGTTGATAGTTAGAGAGGCTTGAAAAAAATTTTTTTGTCGAGAATACATGTTATAGTCTTGGGTATTTCTGTCATGAGGTACAGTAATGTCTGATTGTCTTTCCTTTTGTGGTATTATCACCATTGTTATACAAGTCCATTATTAAGGGTTATAAAATGGGGGTAAACCAATTACATCATTTTTTTTTACTTTACTTATTGACTGGAATGTTTTTATAAAGAAAAACTCCTTATCACCAATTTGGTTACCCCAAGATATCTTTCATATAGGTAAGAGAGGATAAGTAATGGATTTTTCCCCTTTATTTACCTGTTTTTTAAATAATAAGTTGGTTCTCTTAACATTCTCCAAAGTTGACTAACATTAACTTTTTTTGTTTAGCAAAATATGATTTGTGTTTTATTTATATATCCCGTGATGTATATGTCTCTCCTCCCTCTCATCTCTCTCTCTTTATTCTTTAAATATAGCCTGCTTCTTTTGACACTTAAATATATTCTTTTTCAGAATTCTTGTTTCATATGTGGATAATGCAGTCTCATTCGGAGATTATTGATCCCACACATTGAAATATAACACTGTGAACATGAAATATTTGAATTTGATAATGTTCCTTGGGGATTCTTTTCAAGGCATTTGTTGACAAAGTCATAGTACAGAGCAAATAAACCTAAAATTGCTTCTGAGAATTAGCAAAACTTTTTCATTCACTATGACTCAAGGCAGAGAAGGATGGCTCAAAGTTGAGAATTTTCCTAGAAACTATATACCTTTTACATTATCATCTATCTTGTATTTAAGCCATTTAAGTCCAAACCAAGTTCCTGATTCTCTTACCTTTGTTTTCATCCTATGTTTTAAGTTGAGTGAAAAAAAAATTCTCTTCAAAAACAAGAATCCACAAAGTGACTGAAACATGAGTCACTCAATGTCCTGAGGAAATAAACATTTTTCCTGTGGTGAAAATTTATCCATCCTAATGTTGAGTTTTCAAGGGGCTTCCTGACCACTATTTGTTAAAAGTTTTAACTCTGCACACACAAAAAAATTAAAACAGCACCCTAAATACCAGATTAAATACCTTAAATACCAGATTGAAACAGCATCTTAAATACCAGAAGATTTCCTAGAAAGTTTTATCTAAAACTTGTACTAGTGAATACTCATTACCAAATGATTTGAAAAAAGGGAAAAAACTGACAGAAATCACAGAGTATAAGTAGAGATGCTTAGAGAACTAACGTTAATCTAATGTCTGTCATGCACCAGGAATTGTCTAAGAGTTTAGTGTATATTTTCTCGCCTGGCTTTGTATTGGTCAGTATTAGGGCCAAGAGTCACACTCATGTTCTCTTGATTATGTAGTATATGCTTTCCTCCCTAATACATGCATCTTAATGTGGTTTTGGCAATGTAGAAAAATATAGATTTAATCTGTTTAGTATTCTTATGTTGAGAACAGAATCTCATGTGAGTATTTTGGTTTTGCACATAGGGTATCGGTACAGCAATTGGAGAGCTGCCTCCATATTTCATGGCCAGGGCAGCTCGCCTCTCAGGTGCTGAACCAGATGATGAAGAGTATCAGGAATTCGAAGAAATGCTGGAACATGCAGAGACTGCACAAGTAAGAACAGTAGAGAAAACAATAGAATACTTTAATTGTCCTTAAAAAAGTTATGGCTAAGGTGAAATTGTTAATAGTTACTTTAAAGAAGAAAACTCCCAGCATAAAAATAAATAATACATTATTTGGGATAGAATATTTAGAAAAGCTGAAATATAAAAGTGATTATAATCTTGATTTTAGAATAGAGAAATACAGAAAGAGTCCACAAGACAACTCACTAAGCTGAAACACTTTGCCAGAAACCAGAGTAAGTTGATGTCGCTAATGAAGTTTAGGAGCCGAAACATTCTTTATCCATTATGTGTTTTTAAGTATTACCAAGCAGACCACTAACTGAATAAGGGGGACAAATAGGTGGGTCAGGCTATGAGTCCAAAGTTTTTAAGAATAACGTCAAAATATTTTACCATGTTTAGAGGAAATTATTTGGGAACCCTTAAGAAATGGCAGTTACAGGGGTGCCTGGGTGATTCAGTCAGTTAAGCATCTGACTTCGGCTCAGGTCATGATCTCATGGTTTGTGGGTTCGAGCCCCGTGTCAGGCTGTGTGCTGACAGCTCAGAGCCTGGAGCCTGCTTTGGATTCTCTCTCTCTTTCTGCCACTCTCCCGCTCATGCTCTGTCTCTGTCTCTCAAAAATAAACGTTAAAAAAAGAAAGAAGGAAAGGAAAGGGAAGGGGAGGGGAAGGGAAGGGAAGGGAAGGGAAGGGAAGGGAAATAGAAGAGAACAATTACAATAAACTTACCCTTTAACAGCTAGAGGGAAGAAAGGCTGAGGCCTTTACACCTGAGCATAAGCTGTATATCAACCGATATCTTAATGTCACAAGATAGGTGTTTCATTCTTTGCAGGAAAATTCCTAAGAATATTGTTAACTGAGTCGCTTCTTAGGAATGACAGTAGAAATCAACATAGACCCAAAAAAAAGGGATGTAAAAGAGATTTTTAAAAGATTATCTATAAAATACATCTTCCTTCCTAGATTTGTTCATTACCCTATGAAATGAAGTTGTTTGGAAAATTGTCTTGTTGTGTGTTTGTTAAGTGCATGTGCCCACATAAGTACACACCCATTTTTTAAATTAACTTAGTAGTCTGTGTTTATATGTAAAATCAGGCTAATTAACATTTTGAAATAAAACTGTTTTCTACAGTCCTTTTTTATAGTAAGAATAAATAGTAATTATGAATATAAACATTTATATTAAAAAGTAATACATATATTTGTACATATGATTACTTAGAAAAATAAAAAGTAAGCCACATTATGGTCAAACCATTACTCAAAACTGAAAATATGATTAGAAATAACACAGGTATGTAAATGTTATCCCCAAATCAACCAATACTGAATCTATAATTTCCTGTGGGTTAATTATATATTACAGAGAGTGGATTAAGTAAAAGCACATATTTAAACACAGAAAATCTAACAAAATTGATTCATAAACATCTTCCTGGATTTCTTGGTTATTCATGTGATCTGGTTTTCATAAGATGATACAAATAAAATCTATGTCTCTCATGAATGAAGACCCATAAGAAAATTATTATATATATTGAATCACTTTTTTAATTCCTTTCCCTACTAACATAATTTTGCTATTCTTTGACTTTCAAGTATATTTCCCATAGTCTTTTTTTTAAAATTTAGATCCAAGTTAGTTAAAATACAGTATAATAATAATTTCAGGAATAGAATTTGGCGAATCATCGCTTACATATAACACCCAGTACTCATCCGAACAAGTATCTTCCTTATTGCCCCTCACCCCTTTAGTTAGCCCTTCCCCTCACCCAGCACCCCACCAGCAACCCCCAGTTTGTTCTTTGTATTTAAGAGTCTCTTCTGGTTTGTCTCCCTCTCTGTTTTTATATTATTTTTGCTTCCCTTCCCTTGTGTTCATCTATTTTGTTTCTTAAATTCCATATATGAGTGAAGTCATATGATATTTGTCTTTCTCTGACTAATGTTGCTTAGCATAATACGTTCTAGTTCCATCCACATTGTTGCAGATGTCAAGATTTCATTCTTTTTTATCACTGAGTAATATTCCAATGTATATGTATATGTATAGAAATATATAGAGATAGATAGATATAGATATAGATATACACCATATCTTCTTTATCCATTCATCGATCAATGGACATTTGGGCTCTTTCCATACTTTGGCTCTTATCGATAGCACCGCTATAAACATTGAGGTGTCTCTGCTCCTTGAAAACAGCACACCTGTATCCTTTGGATAAATACCTAGTTGTACAATTGCTGTGTTGTGGGGTAGTTGTATTTTTAATTTTTTGAGGAACCTTCATACTGTTTTCCAGAGTCACTGCACCAGTTTGCATTCCCACCAGCAGTGTAAAAGGGTTCCTCTTTCTCTACATCCTCGCTGACATCTGTTGTTGCCTGAGTTAATTTTAGCCATTCTGACAGGTGTGAGGTGATATTTCATTGTGGTTTTGATTTGTATTTCCCTGATAATGAGTGATGTTGAGCATCTTTTCATGTGTCTGTTAACCATGTGGATGTCTTCTTTGGAAAAGCATGTATTCATGTCTTTTGCCCATTTCTTATCTGGATAGTTTTGTTTTTTGGGTGTTGAGTTTGATAAGTTTTTGTAGATTTTGGATACTAACCTTTTATCTGATAACGTCATTTGCAAATATCTTCTCCATTCCATCGATTGCCTTTTAGTTTTGCTGATTGTTTCCTTTGCCATGCAGAAGCTTTTTATCTTGATGAGGTCCCAATAGTTCATTTTTGCTTTTATTTCCCTTGCCTCTGGTGACATGTCAAATAAAAAGTTGCTGTAGCCGAGGTCAAAGAAGTTGTTGCCTGTTTTCTCATCTAGGATTTTGATGGCTTCCAGTCTTACGTTTAGGTCTTTCATCCATTTTGAGTTTATTTTTGAGTATACACACGTTTTATGAGGAATGTATTCATAGCTTTATTCTCAGTGGAATCTGAGACCCCAAAAAACCATTAGCCTAGAGGGGGAAAAACATATATTTTAATAACAGATGGGCTTTTTAAAAAGGCATTATTAAGTGGAAATCAACTAAGGATAGTTACGGTTTTTAATTAAAAACAAGACTTTCAAATATGAATATAGAATAGCCAAATAACCAAATATAAAACAAATGAATCAAAGAGCTATGAGCATCTGCTCTGCCTGGAAAGAGACAAGTTGGCCTTGGTATTTGCTTTGCCTTATGTATCAACCAGATATTATGTCTCTGTTCCTCACATCATAATGCTTATGTTTGCTAATAATTGTTACTAATATAAACAACTTTTTAATTATTTTTAATGTTTTTTAAAATCTAGTATCTAATCTGACCCTTGTGTTAACTAAAGTAATATAGGAAGGTACCATTCTTCTAATTTTATAGAAAACTTAAGATCTAGAAGTTGTTATCTCCCTAATTTTACATGCTTAGAAGTATAGCTAGACCCAGAACTCAGAATGCCAGCATCGCTGATATATCCAGCTACTAAAACCATGTCCATGTGTAGACTAGGCTGAGTATGTTCAGTAGCAACAACTGATACATCTGGAATTTGTGGCAATAATTAATGTATGTCATTTAACATCTCCAAAACTTTTTTTGTGTATATAAAGTCAGCAAGTTGATGCTAGAATAAGTCTAGGATGGCTTGCAGCTTTAAATTTTTATGGTGTGGATTGGATGCTAAACAGGTATAAGTATTGTTTTCTATTAAGTCAATTAATATATTGTCACTGTTTTCCTTTTTTTTTTTTTTTTTTAACTTTTTGTTTTGGAATTAACATGTTTTTCATTTGCATAGTTTTTTCAATCTCTTCTCTCACTTCTGCCAGCTCTGTAAAACACTTTTTCTATGTCACTTCCCACTTGGTAACACGAAAAAAATATTATCAATTCTGTTTTCTTTCTTGGAGTCATCACTCTGGAGCCCCCATCAATCTGAACGTGGTATTCTCGTGTATTTCCTTTGCACATTGCTTCTTTTTTGGTTTGGATCTCTTGTTGTTGACTTCCCGTCCTCCTCTCCCTCCTCCCCCTCCTCCTCCTTCCCCTCCTCCTCTTCCCCCCCCTCCTCGTCCTCCTCCTCCTCCTCCTCCTCTTCTTTTTTCTCCTTCTCCTTCTTCTTCTCCTCCTCTTTCTTCTCCTTCTCCTTCTACTCCTCCTTCTTCTTTTCCTTCTCCTCCTCCTTCTCCTTCTTCTCCTTCTCCTCCTTCTTCTCCTTCTCCTCCTTCTCCTCCTTCTTCTCCTTCTCCTCCTTCTCCTTCTCCTCCTTCTCCTTCTCCTCCTTCTTCTCTTTCTCCTCCTTCTTCTCCTTCTCCTTCTTCTCCTTCTCCTTCTTCTCCTTCTTCTCCTTCTCCTTCTTCTTCTTCTTCTCCTTCTTCCTCCCTCCTCCTCCCTCCTCCTTCTTCCTCCTTCTTCTTCTCCTCCTTCTCCTTTTTTTTTTTGTTTGTTTGTTTTGATTTTTTTTAGTAATCTCTGCCCCCAAACTCATGAGGTCAAGAGTCACTGAGCCAGCCAGGCACTCCTTGCCTTCTTCTTTCTGGATTTACTCCCTCATTTTGGTTGAACACATTCTACCATAGCTTCCTGAGAAAGAATGAGTAGATGGAAGTGCTGAAAATGCTGTGTCCTTCATTCACACTTAATCAATTAACTGAATATAGTATTCTAAGTGGAAAATCATTTTTTAAACTTAGAATTTGGAAGTCATTGTTCAGTCATCTTAGGACCTCTGGTTTGATATTGATGAGGCTAATGCCCTCCTGACATCTCTTCATAGGTAGGCGCCTCTTTTTTGGTTGTTTTATTGTATTTTTAAAAATTTTTTTTTCAACGTTTTTTATTTATTTTTGGGACAGAGAGAGACAGAGCATGAATGGGGGAGGGGCAGAGAGAGAGGGAGACACAGAATCGGAAACAGGCTCCAGGCTCTGAGCCATCAGCCCAGAGCCTGACGCGGGGCTCGAACTCACGGACCGCGA